CCATCTCCACTTGCTCCTCAAACTCTTCCTGTTCAGTCTTCTTCTGGGGCTCTCTTTACTCCTGCTCCTGACTTTTATGCCGTTCTTCCAGAAGGCGTTTATTGTTCTGAGCACACTTTTCCGTACACCGCCACCTTCGCTGGGCCTTCCTGCGCTCTGACTCCAGCCCACATTGGTGGCGTGTCTTCATCTGTTCTTGCACCAGATGGATCTGCAGAAGTTGCTGCTCTCTCTTCTGCTTGAGTTCACGCTTCACCTCAGCGCTTAAGAACTCGTCTCTGGCCTCAGCCTCTCTCTGAGCCAGTTCCTCCTGCTGCAATCGCAGCCTCTGCTTCTCTACATGCTCACGTATTATGGTCTCAGCGAGTCGAGAGTCCTCATTCTCCAGTTTTATGATCCTTATCCTTTTCTCCTGGTCTCCATTTTGAAGTTGTAGTGATTTAGGAGTCGTCTTGTGTTGTGTTTTTGTGTTTTTGCGAAGCACCCTGGTCCTATGGTTCAACACAGGTCACCTACCTAAGGATATTTCAATTTGGAGAGACGAGAAAACAAGAAGCTTTTGAGTATTTTATTGGGAGGAGGTTTGGCGCCCTAGGCCCCGGTGCGGCCTTCAGATCGGAGGGGCTCTGCGATGGAGCGTGCCAATCCCCCGGGACCTAGGCACTGGTGGCGGCATTTGGCAGCGGGAAGCAGATTGAAGGCAGATTGAAGGCAGGGTGAAGAGGAGGAGGAGGGGAGGCGGTGGTTGCAGGCTTCGAGAAGGCCGAGAGTGGGAGTTCCTCTGCTTTTAAGCGGCTTGCCTGGCCGGTACGGTGATTGGAAGGGGGCGTTTGCCGTGCGATAGGCTGGGGATGAGAACCGGCCTGGAGGGGTTACCTTTGGCTGACGTCTACCAAATTGAATTTCCGCTGGCTGCATTTCAATTTGGAGAGACGAGAAAACAAGAAGCTTTTGAGTATTTTATTGGGAGGAGGTTTGGCGCCCTAGGCCCCGGTGCGGCCTTCAGATCGGAGGGGCTCTGCGATGGAGCGTGCCAATCCCCAAAAAGGTTGTGAGTTGATGGAGTTTTGCAGCCTGGTTTGGAGGGGACAGACGTCGAGACTACTCTATGCTGTGACCGCTATCGCTATATACTGTGACCGCTATCGCTATATACTGTGACCGCTATCGCTATATACTGTGGCCGCTATCGCTATATGCTGATGACCATCGTGCGCTAACCATTTTTTGCTATATACTGTGACCGCTAACCATTTTTTGCTATATACTGTGACCGCTATCGCTATATACTGTGACCGCTATCGCTTATATACTGTGACCGCTATCGCTATATACTGTGACCGCTATCGCTATATACTGTGACCGCTATCTACTGTGACCAAACTTGCGGATATGGAGATGCCAAAAGCCGCTGGGCTGCCAGGATGGTAGAAGTGTCAGGCCTGATGTATGAGGAGAGGGCCGATGATGACCAGCGGCCCAGCTGCTGGAGGGCGGAATGGGGGAGCCCCAGGGACGCGGCGCGCGTGGCGGCGCCTATCCGGAAGGAGTGGGCTGTGTAGAGATGGGGAGACATGTTACAAAGCAGCAGTACGGACTTGAGTTGGGCTCTGAACCAGTTGGATGACATGGGAGGTTTATCGGGAGTAAGAGATCTCCTTTCCGAGAGCAGGGGCGAGTGTAATGCATCATGGATCTGTAGGGACAGGGAGAAGTGTCAGACCGGGCTATGACTATATTGCAAGCGCCTTTGCGTTTGGAATGCTTGAGGTGGAGGTTGAAGTAGTCGGGATAATATGACAGGTCAGAGAAGGCAATGTCTCGGGATGCATTTAAAGGTGGCGTGAGAGTTTGTGAATTCGCTTATGCGTAAGAAGCCCATTTTCATGTAGGATGCAGCGGAGGAGAGAAGGTGAAGAGACGGAGGGACTAGACCAGGGCGAGGGATTCCGTGCAGGGGATCTGGCATGGCGATGGATTGGCAGAAGGGCAGAGGCGTCAGAACTCCTGGAATTTAAAGCGAGAGAGAGAGTCAGCAAGACAGTTAGGTGACGAGGGACGTGACGAGCAGTGATGATAAATTGTTCAGGACTGAGAGCCATGTGATGCGTCTAAGGAGGATGTGATTTGGGGAGAGGATGAACGACTTCTGTTAATTATTTCAATGACGTCGAGGTTGTCGCACGTCACGGAAATCCTTTCCTATGCCACGTATGGTTCCGCAGCACGCAGGCTACGGTCATGGGATATATCTCGTGGAGCGCGGAGGAGATGCTTCGAGGGAAAGCGTCGGGCCGGGGCCCGGCGAACCACTGGTCCTGGAAAAACCCCCAAAACCCACGGACGGGGCTGCGTCCGTGAAGAACCGCGGGGCATCTGAGACAGGATGATGTCACTGTAAAAAAAAAAGAGATACACCATCCCAGCGGCTCTGCAGACGGGACCGGAACGCCAGGTCGGAGCGGCGCCCCGCGTCCGGGCAGACAGCATCGTTGAGGGAGGAGACGGAGCCGGCGAGGGAGAGGAGTCTGGAATTAAAAGAACGACCTTGGGGAATGATACGGACGGCATAATGAAGATGCCCGAGGAGGGAGAGCAAGGACCCCTCGAAGTGACGGGAAGGCCAAGGCAGACCGGGAGAAACGCGGATGCGTTCGAGCTCGTCCAGCGGGAGGGAGGCCTCCATGGCGCGTGTGTCGAGGCGGATGCCGAGAAACTCCAGAGCGTTGGCGAGGCCTGTGGTCTTTCCGGAGTGGAGGAATCCGAGGGCAGAGAAGGCGGGCCTGAGCTTGCGGAGAGAGCCCCCGGAGCAGTCTGAGGGTGGGTTGACTACGAGGGAATTATCGGGGAAATGCAGACAGAGGGGAGCCGCGCGTAATTAAGCAGAATCCGACACGGCGCCTCCGAGAGATTGTTGAACGAGAGGGACTACTCCGGCAGTCAAAGGTGAGGCGCACTGCGAAGAAGAACTCCGACGCCACTTGACCCCTGAACAGCGCCAGTGGTCGGGGTGGATGGCAGCAGCTTGAACACGTCCGGGATGACGGCCTTGGAGAGCCAGGAGCCGGGGCCGAAAGTCTTTATCAGCCTGATCGCGTGGTCCATGGTAGCGGACTGCAGGGAGAAGGGCGCTGGAGGGAAGGGGCTGTGGATGCTCGGGCGGGCCCGGAGCGGGGACAGGAGAGGACGAGTATGAGACGCTTCTTCCTGGAGTGCTTGCGGGTGGCGATGCCCATCGGGTTAGAGCGAGACGGAGAGAAGGGGCCAATGACGTAGCCCACGGACACCTCCCGCGCCCGAGCCGCGTGCCGACTTGGGGCTCACGGAGAGCCGGGAAGAGGTTGCGGGACACGAGACGCCGAGGGACCTAAACAGAGCTTGCAGTCTAATGTGAGGGATTTAAATAGAGCTTGCAGTCCAAAGTGAGGTATTAAAACTGAGCCCGCAGTCCAAGTGAGGCGTTTAACGGAGAGCCTGCAGTCCGGTGCGAGGGAGTTAAACGACCTGTAGTCCGAGGTGAGGGATTAAACTGAGAGCTTGTAGTCCAGGTGAGGGATTCAACATAGCCCGCAGTCCTAAAAGAGGGATTTATAACTGAGAGCTTGAAGTCCAAGTGAGGGATTAAACCGAGAGCTGCAGTCCAGTGTGAGGGATTTAACAGGTTTTACGGTCCAAGTGAGGGATTAACTGAACCCGCAGTCCAAGTGAGGAGTTTAAACCGAAAGCCTATAGTCCAGTGTGAGGGATCCAACAGAGCCTGCAGTTTTTTTTTTTTTTTTTTTTTTTTTAATTTATTTATTTATTTATTTATTTATATTAATTCATATTTATATTTATTTATATTTATTTATTTTTATATATAAGCGTTCCAGATATGAGCAGTACCATATTTTTCTTCTTTTCCTGTCCAGAGGGATTTAAACGGGGCTTGCAGTCCAAAGAGAGGGATTTAAACAGAGCTCGTAGTCCAGAGAGGGATTTAAACAGAGCCTGCAGGCCAAAGTGAGGGATTAAAACTGAGCACGCAGTCCAATGTGAGGGATTAAACTGAGATCTTGCAGTCCAATGTGAGGAATAACGGAGCTTGCAGTCAGAGTGAAGGATTTAAACGGAGCTTGGTTAAGAGAGCCTGCAGAACAATGCGAGGGCTTTAAACTGAAGCTTGCACACCAATGCACGGGCCAACTGAGCCTGCAGTACAAGCGCGGGGCCAACTGAGCCTGCAGTACAATGCGAGGGGAATAAACCGTCCGCAGGTCTCATACTTACCCACAACGCCAGAAGACAAGGGACAACACAACGGGACCACGCCGTACCGGCACGAGGAGGCAGGGATGCGCACAGCTCCCACCGCACCGGTTCAGACCGGCCGTATGCAGCAGCAGGCCGCGACGAGACGAGCAGCGGCGAACCCGCAGAAAGAGCCCGCAAGGAGGAGAGCGGCAAAGACCCACGGACCACAGCACGAGACCCGCAGCAGGTGCAGCGACGCGGAGGAGGAGCGGACCACACGCAGCAAGACAGAGGACAGCAGGGACACATGCAACGAGTAAGCGTGAGTAGACAAGCGATTCCTCCAGAACGATTCCTTGCAGGCTTCGAGAAGGCCGAGAGTGGGAGTTCCTCTGCTTTTAAGCGGCTTGCCTGGCCGGTACGGTGATTGGAAGGGGGCGTTTGCCGTGCGATAGGCTGGGGATGAGAACCGGCCTGGAGGGGTTACCTTTGGTTGACGTCTACCAAATTGAATTTCCGCTGGCTGCATCTTAAGGACAGAATACCTTAAGATTGTGGTGATGTAATTAGCTTTATGACATCATCGCCATGGTAACCAAGTATCATAGCAGCAATGGCAACAAGTTACTAACAGAGAGCGTTTCCACAGTAACCATAGTAACTTAGTAGTGTGATTTAAAATTCTACTGAACTGTTTAAATATTTTTTTTTTATTAAAAAAGAAATAATATAGCTATGATATCGAACAGTAGCTCAGTTGGTAGAGCACTGGTCTTTACACCTAATGGTCGTGGATTCGAGCCCACCACGACCCATGTCATCTGCTCCCACTGATGTCTGCTGTCGTTGTGTCCCTGGGCAAGACACTTAACCCCACATTGCCTGAAGCTCCCAAGGTCCAAGGTCATTTTGTCGATGACGGAGAAGCCATCATCATGTG